GTAACACTCATTGACTCTCCCCAGCTCCACTAGCGGCAGCCCAGAGAGAACTTGTAACTCTGCCTGCCAAGGATGGTAAGGGCCCAGGGCTGAGTGGGGAATAGAGAAGTGGCTCTCAGCGCTTGTGCCAGTCCTATAGGGACAGTGTGGGCCGTTGGGAGTCACCGCTGGGTGGCTCAATTCTGAAGGCTGAAGGCTGAGACTGCCACCTCCTGTGTTCACTCCCGAGGCAGATGCTCCGGAGTCCCATTTATAAAGGCACCCATTCCTGGCAAGAGGGCTCCACTTCGTACCTGGTCACTTCCCAGTCCCAGCCCCTGACACTTCTGTAGGGATTTTAATGGAGACATGTGCGACAACACTCACATGACAGAGGACGCTGTGACTGCGCCTCCCTCAGCTCTGCTGCAAAATGGGTGTGGCAAGCCACTCAGTTTACCGGGTTTCCCGTTTCATAGTCAGAGCCAAGGACTGGCTTGGCTTGGATACCTTTACTGTGTGTTTTACATAAGCCTCACTCTTTGGTGGCAGTTACTGGGCATCGAACTTAGGGCCTTGCGCTTGCCCGGCAGGCACTGTGCCACTGAACTACATCCCTGGCCTCATAAGCCTCATTTTTTTTTTTTAATTCACCTGAATATTCAGGGAACTTTCACCTATCTTATTTAGGTTTTCAATTTTTTTCAAATTCCAACCAGAAGCTAAATACAATGGGAAACCAGTAAGCACTAGTTATGTCTCAGGTTTAACACATTACTTTTCTTTATTCGTAATTGTACATAAAAACTTTCATTATTAATCATTCAGTTGGGAAACGTAGCTTGAGTAGGTCTTATTTCTGATCTATACTACATTACCTTCTATAGCTTACACTATATATATATATATATATATATATTTGGGGGGGGGCGGGTCTTAGGAGACAGGCCTGCCCCATGCAGTTTCAGCTGGCCTTAAATTCATTATGTAGCCCAGGCAGGTCTCAAACTCCCAGTGATCCTCCTGCCCCAGCCTCCCCAGTATTGGGATTATGGGTGTTCACCACCACACCCAGCTTGAAAGACTCTTTTTAAAAAGAGTTATTGGAACCTCAGCCTCATTGGAGACAGTCACTATAATGGCAGTGATACCTAATACTATATTATAGGTTTTCTTAACAAAGCTCCTTAGTTTCAAATAACTTCTCTGTGATAGTATAGGTGGGAAAAGTTCTTGATTTCTATTATTAAATCACAAGGAAAAATAATTGCACTAATAGAAATAAACAATGCTGGAATTAATAAAAACTCAATCTACTCCCTTCATCATTTCCGCCTTGCTGTTTTGGTTTAACTGTTAAACTTTTATGACTGCCAAACACAGCCACACAAAGGCACCCAGTGACCTGTAATAGAAACGCATCACATACCTGGTTCAGACCAGTTTCTTGCTAAGGTTATGATGACCATTTCTCCAGGTCATTTGATTGTTAGCTGCCTATAGCTCTTCGTTTAATGGACCAGGATTTAAAAACAAAAACCCCACTATACCCCAACAATGTTTCATCTATGATTTTATCACTGACAATAGCAAACTTAACATTACTGTATACATCCATAATAAAACTGTATTAGAACATCTGCAGCCAGAAGCTGAGCCAATGTTTAACTCAGCATGCCATTTGCTTATCCTCTGCTGGCTGGCAGCCAACTTCAGTCCTTGCCACTGCAAGGACTGAAACCAAGAAGCAAGCTGGCTAGTGTCCTTCGGCCACTTTTCCGGTTTCAGGTCCTGGCTACCCTGAGGGCAGAAGCAAACTAGATGAATCCAACTCTCAACTGCAAGCTGGCAGGGAAATTCAAGGATCATAAATTTAAGATTTGCCAACCTAAGATCAAGTTACAGGCCTTGACGTTACTTCAACTCCCTGAATGTTGGGATTAAACTGTGTACCACCACCCTGGGCAATATAAAATTTCTTGCCAGTTCTCCAAAAAGAAGAAAGAAGCACTACCAGCAGTGTAACACCTATAATCCCAGGACTCTGGGAAACTGAGGCAAGGGGATTACAAATCCAAGCCCAACCCCACAATTTTTTTTTTTTCCACAGCAGGTTACCGAGGTAACAGTAATAGGTATCATAGTTTATTTTGTTATCTTTATAATAGTTGTTCTTTCAATCACGTATATCAAAATAAAATGAAATACAGAACATTATTGAACTTATCAAAACAGAATATTGAATAGAGCAGTACCATTAATCAGAAAAGAGCAAAACAGTAATAAAAATATTTGCCTTCAAAGAAATGGTAGAAGGAAGTCCCCCTTATTTGCTATGGCCAACCTCCCAGGAGATGCTCAGATTTCTGGTTTCCATTTGCTAATGGGTGTGGGGGAGGGAGAAGAAGGAAGATAGGGGAAGTGGGATATTTGACTCTAGGCCATGTAGCAGTAGGTTCACTATTGCTAAGCAGGGAGGCAGGATGGTCATTTGTTTTCACAGCGTCCTCAGTTCCAACATGACCAACCCCACAATTTAACAAACTGAGACTGTCTCAAAATTTAAAATGGCTGGAGATGTAGCTCCATGCAAAGCCCTTGGGGTTCAATTCCCAATACAGGTTTTTAAAAAGCACTATTAATTTCATGCAACTAGAATCTGACTCAGGCACCCAATCACATCTTCCTTACCTTCCTTTAGTCCAACTATTATCCCGTTATCTTCTCCTCTATAGACAAATGGAAAATTGAAGTGTCTCTACTTGACAGATACTCCACCATCTTCCTTACATATTTGGCATTATGGTTTCCCCCCAAAAAAGTTTGCAGACAAGTGTGGACATTTAAAATAAGAGTATCCCGGGCCAGAGATTTAGCTCAGCGGCATAAGCGCCTGCCTGGCAAGTTCTAGGTTGTGAATTCAATCCCTGTACCCAAAAAAAAGAGTATTTTGGTATTGGTGCAAAGTAATTCAATAATGGAGATAGCAATATCTCATCCTCAGATTGTTATAAACTGATGAGTTAAAAAAAGCCCATAACTATAGCGTAATTTTATAGTATAAAATTATTAATACATATTATTAATTATACTGTCTCATAATATAGAACTTGTTTTAAAATTATTGGGGGACCTGGTGATATAGCTCCATGGTAGAGCATCTGCCTAGCACATATGAGCCCCTGGGTTCAACTCCCATTTTTTTTTTTTCCTAAGATAGGTCTCATTATGTAGTCCTAGCTGAACTTGAACTACGTAACTCAAGCTGGCTTCAAACTCAGTACCCATAGGCCCAATTTCCTTACTGGTATGCACTACCAGACACAGTTTTTTCATATTTCAAAATTACAAAGTATATATATATATATATATATATATATATATATATATATATATTGGGGGGGGTACCAGGGATTGAACTCATGACCTCATGTTGCCAGGCAGGCACTTGTTACTGAGCTAAATCTCCAGCACCAAAGTAGGTATATTAAAATGCCAAATCAAGGAACCACAAAAGGCCTAAAGCCAGCAATGGTAGTACACACCACCTGTAATCCCAGCACTTGGGAGGGTTGCCATAAGTGTGAGGCTCACCTAAACTACATATTTCAAGGCCAATCTATTAAGGAGGGGAAGGGGCTAAAGATGCTTCTTGTGCCAGGTGTGGTGGTGCATGCTCATAATTCCAGCATTTTGGAGACTGAGGCAGGAAGATCACCAACAAGTTCCAGATAAACTTGGGCTACATACTGGATTTCACAGGGAGATAGTCTCAAAAAATAGTTTTTTGTAAAATATACATGACTCTCAAAGTTACTCAGGCAGATGTTAAGTTCACAACCTACATCTATGCACATTTTTGTTGTTGCTGTTTGTGGTGTTTTGAAACAGGATCTTACTCTACAAGTATTTCAGGCTGACCTTGAGGTATGTAGCTAAGGCTGGCCTCAAATTTTTGGTGATCCTCCTGCCCACCCCAGCAAGTGCTGGGATTACAGGTGTGTGTCACTGTGCCTAGCCACATCCATATACTTTAAAAAAAAATCTCAGCACTCAGAAGGTAGAGGTAGGAGGATCAAAAGTTTGAGGCCAGTCTGAACTACACAGTGAGAACCTGTCTCAAAACAAAACAAAACATTACTAGAACCAACTGTAAGAAAATCCAAATTTCTCAGAGGAATCAAGTTTCTAAGACCACAAAAGCTAATGAAAATTTTGTTTCTGTCATATGTGGTTACTTTTGATGGCTGTTTTATAGTGCTAGGGATTAAACCTAGGGTTCACGCACAGTAGGCAAGTGCTCTACCACTAAGCTACATTCCAGGACCTTTTTATGAGACAAGTTCAAACTGAGGCTGGCCTTGAGTGTGAAATCCTCCCACCTCAGCCTCCAGAGTGGCTGAGGCTATAGGCAGAAGCAACAATGCCAGGGTTTTTGGTTTTTTGCCTTCTTAAAAGAGCCATACTAATACTTTCCCTACACCCACCTTAGCCAAACAGATTTATAAGAAGCCTGGAGTTTCCCTAAAAGGTCATTTTTACTTAAGTGCTTTTCTTATCTAGCACTTTTCTTGAAAAGTTAGCATTACCATAACAGTCTCTCAAAGCAAAGCATAACCACAATTACACACAGGAAGCACAGTACTACTCTAAAGCAATGCCCTCGCCTTGCATTGTTTTTCCATCAGCCTTTCCTGAGAGTGCTCCAGGAATCTTGCGAGGGAAATAGACAAGCACCACACCTTCAACATATTTAAGAAGCATTCACAATGTTCTTTTTTTTTTAAACACAAGCCTTTAATAAAAAACTCAAAAAAATATATAATCAAGCATTTTACATAATGCATACATTCTTGGTATCTGCAGATAAGATAAATAACAAAAGGCAGAAAGCAGGTATACTGTATTGCTTCTCTTTGGTGAGGTACCAATATCATCCTCTGCAGAAACACGGGAACATGTGTTACAAAATAAACACAAATGTGGTCTTAAAATAATTGTCCCTTAGTATAAATAAAATATTTCTTTTTTTTTTTTTGTCTTTTTTGTTTTTATCGGTACCAGGGATCGAACTCACGACTGCCTGCTTGCAACGCAGGCACTTATGCCGCTGAGCTAAATCCCCAGCCCCAAATAAAATATTTCAAAATAATACAGTAGGTGGGTTTTTCAAACTAACTAAAACATATAACACTTTATATATATCACAGGGGTAAAGTAGCAGGCTACTGCAGCCACACTTAATGGTGAGAGACACTCTTCTCTAGCTTTATTCTGGCTTTTTAAAAAGTGTCACAATCAGACACCACTTCTCAGATGCCATTCTGAGGAAAACAAAATCCTTTCTCTCTGCAAATACGTTTCACTAGCTGGTCAGTCTGCTCCTGCCCCAAATTCACCTTGAATGAGGCAATTCAGGTTTTCTTAAGTCAAATTTTTCACCAAATTCAGAGTTCCAAATTTTAAAAGTTTTTCCTTTAATTTACAGCAAAGATACACATTGTGGCTCTACTGAAGCAGTATATACAGATCAGAACTAAAAATCAAAAAAGAAGGATCTATTCAACACATAGCAGCTTGTATCTAAATATATACATGTATGTATATGTTTTCACAGTTAATCTAAAAAAATTACATTTAATATGTTGGGAAATATTTCTATAGTCTATAAATAATATCTTAAAAGCTCAACTGGTAAAATGCAGTAAAAGAATGTATCAAGTTAAGTGTTCTACACCTTCAAAAACAGACTTGATATCAGTAAAGCTTGAGGTTCATATTAAGTGTATACTGCCAGTCCCTACTGCTAGGGAAGGCAATCTTCTAAATACGATATAAAAGAAACTCCATAACTTTGGAAGGAATTGGCAGCTTCTGGACTTCTTGAGTGGGCATCACTCTTCGGATTGACATGCGACATAAATGTTGTAGGCTAGCAACTTGTCTTGGAGTGGCCCAAAAATAAACACTTCCATCATGTGTTCTAAAAAGAAGTAACAAGCATTAGTACATACATCTCAAAGTCCCTACAGTTCAGGCAACTATCATTATGGTCTATTAGAATCACAAACTTCACTTGAACACCTAACTCAGGAGAACACCCAATGACAGGCTCCTAACAAAACAATGAGTGTTACGGTTCCTATTAGATGTCCTCTCAAAGCCAAATGTGCTCATAGGTGGGGTTCAGGTGTGACTGAATCAAGCATGTGACAGTGGATTAGTCAAACCACTAATGGGTTTATAGCCCAGTGTGATGTTGGGAGGTGAAGCCTGTTGGGAAGAAGTGAGCCACTGTGGGCGTGGCTTGGGCTTCCCCCTCCCTTGATCTCTTTGCACTTCCCCCACCGCCATGCCATAAACCGTTTCTCCTCTGCAATGTACCTCTGCCATGCTGCCCTGCCGTGAGGCCAGCCAACTATGGACTGAAACCTTAATAGTCAGCAAAAATAATCTTTCCTGCTTTAACTTACGCAGATCAGGTATTGTGTCTTAGTAAAGAGAAAGCAAGTACCACACACATGAAACACTTATGAGAGACTTAAAATAACCTGTTGCCTTGCTTTAAAAGCCATCTTAATTTGCCCTGCTAAGAAAAGAAACATACCCAGCAGCTAGAACACTGCCATCAGTAGAAAAGGCACAGCAAAGGCCATTGCTCAAAGGTGCGACTTGTACTGGATAATCCTCATCAATTCTCCAGAATCTCACCATTCTGAAAGGAAAACAAATTATCAAGTGAGTGTCTTATATGAAGTTTAAAATAAAAGCAGTTTTTAAACTCAGAAAGAAATAGCACTGTGTTGAATCACAAAATATGCAAGTTGCTCTAACAGGTAATATGGGTAACTTGTTAAAAAGTTTTCTACTTACTTACCCTTAAAATCTGAATGTTTTACTCTTTCCATGGCACTTATAAAAGTCTTTTCACCTAGGTAAAGTGTAATCTAGGAACACAGTGACAAACTATATTCAAGAATGTGAGCAAACAGCAAAATGGCTACTGGCAAATAAAAAACTCTTCTGTATGTTTGCTAACATTCTGGAAAAATGATAATGAGTAGTTTTATGAACCAATGTGATCAAACTGCTCAGTGCCATACCCAGGAACCTAAATGATAAATACATGAAAAAATGGAATAGCTGTAACTAATTTCTGTTTCTTACCAATAAGCAGCACATTTCTTTCACATGATATTTCATCTTCTGGTCTCAGCAGTAGATATAAATTACTCTGCATTTACTATTTCAGCTTAGAAGTTTCCTTTTGCTTCACCCTTGACAGGGTACTACTTCTAAAACATCTCTGTAGGCTGGGCTAACAGTTGATTAATGACCTGCTTTGTTTGCCTAAGTCACTTAAACAGCAAACTTGGAGAAAGGCATTTAGCACCATTAGTTTACAGGGATATTAGGCCAGTGCTCTTTAAGACACACTGGCATCTCCTAAGAACTTGTGGAGAGAACAGTCATTAAATGCTAGCTACTTATTTAACTGGTGGGGGTGTTTCTTTTGAGATAGGCTGGCCTTGAACTCACAGTGATCCTCCTGCTCCTGCCTCCCAAGTGCTGGGATTACAGGCATGTACCACCACGCCTGGCAAGAAAGGGTTTTTAAAATATAAAAAATAAGAAATGTATTTCTAAAAATCAAAAAGGGGGGGTTGACGAGTATTTTCATTAAGCAGAAGAATGAAAGACAATTAAGAAGAAATAAGCTGTAATTTGAGCACTTACTTATCATCAGCAAGGCTTGCAATGTGCAGTCCATCATGACTAAAAGATACAGAGCGTACCCATCGGTCATTTGCTCCTCCAGCAAATATTGGAGTAGGCGGGGGAAATAGGTGCCTGAGGTCAAACACATGTTCCTTTCAATGGCTTAGAGTCACTTCAAGAACCAAATTACCCAAGAACAACACACATCTGTCTTTGAATAAAGTAGCCTTAATGAATGCAACTGAGAAGATTGAGTAGAGCTGATACACCCAAGCTAAATGACAGGGACCTTTTTCACAGTATGAATGAGATGCAAAGATTAAGTATAACTTTGGTTTTAACTATTTTCCCCAATATGAAATTAAATATACTGCTAAAGGACACTGTTAAATAGCAAGACCTCTATCACAAACTGATTTGATTTGCAGAAATCACATCAGAAGCTTTTATTATTCCAGGACTTAAATAACACTGAACTTATCATACACTGTACGTATTATCATACGCTATAATTTTAGTTTTCATATATTAACAATTATAAGTATTCATCTTCTCTTTCCCTCTCTTTTTGACTAAGACAAAGTCTCACTATGTTGTTAGGGTCATCTTGAACTCCTGAGCTCAACTGATTCTCTTACCTCAATCTCCAGAGTCCCAGAATTACAGATGTATGTCAACAAACTCAGCACACTGTCAACATAACTGCTGAAGCTTGGGGGTTGGGCAGTTTTTTGTTGTTGTTGTTGTTATTGTTTTCTAGAGGGTAAGGGTTTATCAAGGATGAAAACCAGAGCCTTTGTATCAAGCTACACCTCCAGGTGTTTTTTTTAAAAAAAAATTTATGTTGAGATTGGGTCTTACTAAATTGCTCAGCTTGGGCTCAAATTTGTAATCTTCCTGCCTCAATCTCCCAGAGTGCTCGGATTATAATTTCTTAAAAGTACAGTGATGGCCAGTGATGGTTATAGACTAAAGTAATTCATGCAGTACCCACCCAAATTCCATCAGAATGTCTCCATTATGTGGATCCCAGATATATACACGAGTATCGTAAGATGCAGTAGCCAGTAATGCTCCATCAGGAGAAAAGTCACAAGCTACAACATCATGGTGATGCCCTTCTAGTTTCCGTATCATGGTATACTTATCCATGTTCCAAAGGAAAACCTGAAATAAAAAGACAATGTTATAGCTTCATTCAGATACACAGAGGACAAAATGGTACATCTTAAACTAAAACTGATAAATTTAATAAAATTATATTAAACATTGTAAATGAGTAATTTAAAGAATATGCTCAGTGTCATAGATTAAAATCAGTCTTTAAGTTAATTAAAACAGACATGCAAATTCTATTTCAAATGTTTCTGTTAAATGTTAATTTAAAATATAGGCCTAAACATAAAGGCAATGCAATTTAGCCACAAAGTTATACTGAAATCCATTTATTTCAAAAAGTAATTAACTAAAATATACAGAAATAAATAGGGTTAAGTACTACAAACCCCTTTCTTTTTTTTTTTTTTTCAGAAACTACCAAATTTTTAAAAAATATACAGACAGAAAACGTAAGGTTAACAAATTGTTACTCCATTGGCATCTCCCTTTGAGATAATCACTTGTTTACAATAGGCTTGAATCACCAACGTGAGCCTAGGAAGAGAAACAGATACTGCAAGCAAAGAGAATTTTCACAGCCAAATCAAATTTCTTTGGCAAACAACAAGGATGTTAAACCACATTACAATAGGAAATGCTATTTTATAAAAATAATTACAGTATTTCTGTGAATCAAGATTTATACCAATCATTTTTCCCAAACTAACTATAATCATTAGTCATTTTCAGTATAAAACAATTAAATTATTTAAGAATAAGTTCACATAGTTTTAGATTCTAAACATCAATAGTCAGACTGTGCAGAGCAGCCCTAACCAAACTTCTAATGTTCACTTCAATGGTATATTAAATGTGAGCTTAGAAATTTGTAACGATCCTAACGATAATCTTTCCTCCTCTTGGAGTAATCTTTTTCTACTTTTTTTCTGCACAGACACAACATATTATTTCCAAAGGATAGTAAGCACAAATTTCAAGTTGAATCAAATATTTTAATATTTAGCATCTTCCAAAAAGTAGTACATAAAAGCCAATTACTTCAAATTAAATTGGTTTTACTTGTAAAGACTCCCAATTCCATCAAACTGGAAGATCAATTTACTTGGAGGAGTCAGTGGATTTCACTGTGGAGAAAATCATTTTTAAAAAGGAAAAAAAAAAAAGAAAGAAAGAAAAGCAGAAAGTGGACGTCGACCAGCACCTGTGTACGTACAGTACACCTTGCAGCCGAATGCAAGGTTACTTCATCCTATGGTAAAGGTCGCCCCCAGCCCGGTAGCCAGAGATGCCACTCTTTCTGCCCAGCTAACACCATTGTGCGCCTGTGTGCGAGTGGTGCCAGCATAACCTCAATCACACCAATATTGCTGCCACCACCTGTGACAGGGAAAGCAAGAAGCATATGGAAAACACACAGCCTAAAATAGCAATGTCAATATCTAGCTTTGTTGTTTTTATGATTTTTAAAGAACTAAGCTATTTTTTTCTTAACTTTCAACATTTCTAACCATCATTATAACAAGCCTCTCTGCTAAATAAAATGCATTTTAACTAGGTTCCACCACCCCCCTTAATTCAAAGTGTACTGTGATCCTACATATTTGGACTTCAACCTTTTCTTAAATACCTGAAGCTATTAAGATTCCTTTACTAACTCAAGTGCTGGAGTTCAACAATAAATTGCATAACCTTCTTAAGAGTCATTTGACTTAAGCTGTCCATATGTATGCTATACAAAACAGACAACATTTACGTTTCATCTGTAATTCACTCTAGGACGTACATGAGTGCTTTTTTAAATTATTACTAAGTTACTTTTTTCAGTTAAATGTCCAGGACCAGCTGGGATTCAAAACTTTAAAAGCAGCAAACTGGACAAAAATAGAACAACAGAGAAGAAAATAATTAGCAAGAGAATGTCTTAATAGGAACTAGAACTCTTCTATAGCACATAAACTTTCCTAAATCTTACAGACAATAACTTGATATACTCCCATTTTATAAATATTATCTCTAAGAGCAACCCAACCTCACTTGACAAGCAGTAACTATATTTAATTTCCCTCATGCAAATTCTCCCCATCATGAAATAAAACAATTAAGATATTCATGACACCGAGCACAGACTTAATAGATTACTTAGATTTAAAATGATTATGCATACATCATTATGCTCAATTCATAAGGAAATGTGTGAGAACTTTGACACATACTGCTTTACTTGCTCCAACTGAACACAGCATGGAAGAGTCAGGAGAGAATGCACAGTTGTACACCCAATTCGGATGCCCTCTCAGTATTTTCATCATGTTTCCTGAACAAAAACAAGTATTTGTATCAACCTTAGAATGTATTTCAAATGGCAGTAAATCACAAATGTGCACAGCTGAGTTACATATCTATCGTAGGTTGGCAGTATTTACCAGTTGCTTATTTTCATGAACAAAATTTTACCAACACGAATTTTATCCATATAAATATAAGCATGCCGGTTTATGCTATGCTACTACAGAAGACAGTACAGCCCATAAACCTAAAACACGTAACATCTAGCCTTTAATTAAAATGCCTGTGACACTTCATCTATAGGAGACAGAATTATTTTAGTACAATTCCCTTATTTCTACAAAGGAAGGAGCCAAAGTAGAACAACTTTAAGACTTGTTGAACAGAACGTCTTCAAAAAAAGCTGTTTTATCCCTGTTGAACAGAACGTCTTCAAAAAGCTTTTTCATCCTCTTCCACTTTGATGGTCTACATTCAGTCCCTAAGTCCTTGTTTTTCTTATACCCACAGCACACAGCTATGCTAACTTATTTAACTCTATCCCTCAAGAGCTGAGCAATTAGCCAGACGTGGCAGTACGTGACTGTAGGGCCAGTGTTGAGGTCGCAGGATAACAAGTTTGAGCCCAGTCTGGGCAATTTAGCGATTTAGTGAGACCCTGTCTCAAAAACTAAAAAAGTCAAAGGACAGGCTGGGGCTACAGCTCAGTGCCAAATCTCTTGAGTTCAAACCCCAATATTTGGGGGAAGGAAAAAGAGCTGAGCAATCAGAGAACTGATAAAATGCAGGATAGGTAGGTACTTCAGCATTTGGATATGTTAGTACTTTATTGTTCCTATCCATCAGGTGAACAAAATCTGATGGCTCTAAATTGGAGTTTTGTTTTCTTCTACATTTAATTTACACATACTTTAAAAAGACTTCACACGTACTCTATTACTGGTAGGCAAATCTGTCAACATCCAGTTTGACTGCTGAGCACCAACACATACTACTCAAATACAGGGGCTGGGGATTTAGCAACTGCTTCATTAGATCAGAAGGCCTCTCAAATAAGATAGCCTTGCTAAAACTGTATTACAAATATGTTTCAGAAAAAGCTGAGTACTTGACATGAACATCCCTTTCTACTGTACTGAAGTGTAAAAAATTTTATTTTTCATAAAAATTTTCAGCCTATGCTTACTAGCATTTACAATGCTATTATTAATTCTGGCACACAAATCTTGATTAAAATTTAGGCTAATCATTACTGAATTTGCTTGCTTTAAGATCTTAAATTTTCAGTAAGCACATACAGAAAGTTAATAACCCTAAGATAAAGGAAATACAACAAACCAGTGCATCTACAACCCTAAAACGATACAGATTTGTCCAATAGTTGATAACAGATCTGCAGGGCTAGTTTCTAAGTAGTATTAGACTGTTTTACTTATAGTACCTGCTGGCTCCTATCCTGGCTCATTTTATGTTTCTGTTTGATCTATATACGAAAAGAATCAAATGGTTAAACAGAAGAGGAAATTCTGATCAAATAACACTTTTAAAGGAGAATACCAAGATTTTGTTCCCAAAACAATCTCAACAGTAATACCAAGAAGCCAATCTTTTTACAGTATGGAATAAAGACGTACCATCATCTTTTAGGTCCCACACTCTGAGAGTTTTATCTCTTGAAGCTGATACTAGGATCAAGCTCCCATCTGGAGCAAAAGTTAAATCTCTGACCACTTCAGTATGATCTACCAAATTAAGGAGGAGTTTTCCTAAACATGATGGAAGGGAAAAAAAAAAAAAAAAAAAAAAAAACAGTTATTTTTCAGCTTCTACTACAGGGTTGCCAACTTCATTTTAAAAATAAATTCCTAGGGGCTGGGGATTTAGCTCAGCAGCGTAAGTGCCTGCCTGGAAGTATGCGGTCGTGAGTTCGATCCCTGGTACTGATAAAAACAAAAAGGACAATAAATAAATAAATAAATAAATAAATTCCTATTGGTTTATCAGTGCCAAGTATTTATTTATTGGTGTCAATATTTATTAGTGCCACTGTTACTTGCAGGGATTCATTATTTACAATGTTTTAAAAGGCATTCTTTCCAGTTGAGCAGTCTTAAGTTTATTAGAAAAATTAAAAGCCAATTCCTGAAATGTAAACAAACTCAGGGAGCAAAGTAGTATCAAAAAAGCCTTTATATTATCACCTTATGATTTTAAAATGTAAAGAAATTTTGCCTTTGCTTTTATTTCCCAAACTCCCAAAGAGATACTACTGTCCCACAGTTTTGTTTTGTTTTGTTTTGAGGGGAGTCTCTTTGAGATAAGAGTTTTACTATGCAGTTTACCCTGGCTTTGAACTGACTGCATAGCCCAGGCCAACCTCAAACTCACAGGACACCCTCCTGCCTTAGCCTCCCACAACTAATTCGTTAACACAATCTCAGTTAAAAATTCTTACCTACTACTATTGAGCGCCGTTTTAGAAAAAAAAAACTAGGTGCTTACCTAGTTTCTTTTTTTCAAGGTTCCCAATTTTGACTTATAGCAGTACCTTAGTTCACGAACCTACTTCTTCCCACAATTTTTGGTACAAAGCAAATTAGATGAGAAATGAATCAAATTTCTCCATACGGTCAACACTGAACCTAACCACTGAATTTGATTCTGTTCGAATCCAATCTGCAACCAGAAATGTGGAAAGAATTAAGTTCATGAAGAAGATACCACTGTATTATCCCACTGTTGGTATCACTTCCTGTATTCTGGGGTACATCTTGTTTTTATGCTCATTTAGAATTCCTTTATATTTTACATATTTTAGACACTTATTTTGTTGTTGTTACTTGCCAGATACTAAATAAAACTTTTTTTAAAGACAGGGTTTCACTATTTAGTTCAAGCTGGCCTTGAACTCACTATGCAGCCTTAAACTGGCCTTGAATTTGTGCTCTTCCCGCCTCAGTCTGGGATTACAGGTATGCATATAGCCATCTACTTTTAATTTACTTTTAATTGCTCAAAGAATTGAATTTAACCTGTCTTGTAAATAGTCACTAAAACATTCTAAGTCAGATAATGATTGTTAAAACCTAATTTGGTCATGCATGATGGCCCATGCTTGTAATCCCAGGACTGTGGGAGGGTGAGGCAGAACTGAAGTTCAAGCTCAGTCTGTACAACTTAGTGACTTAGGGAGACCCGCCTACCAAGTAAAAAATAAAAAGGGATGGGGACACAGCTCAGTAGAACAGGTTCTAGGTTCAATCCCCAGTAGCAAAAGAAACCAAACCAAAAAGCACACTACTTTGCCTCAAAAGCCTCTAGGAAGCCAGCTGTGGCAAACCTATGGCACGTGTACTATGGCAGGCATGCTGGCAGTGAGCTCAGTCACCCCAGGATCTGAGCATCAGGTACCAGTTGTATTTTCTAAACTAAAATCTCAGCATGTGGATTTAATTGCAGAGTTGGTACTTTGCAATAATAAGTGGATCTTTGTAGTTCTAAGGTCTGCCATCACTGCTCTAAACATCATTGAAAAAGTATGTAAGAAAATATCTATTGAGTCAAACTAAACTATATAAATAATAATTAACTAAACACTCCCTACACATGCCTTTCTACTATAATATTTTCTGAAGGGTCAAACAGTGGAAAACTCTATATTGTTTTCCTAAATTAAAACCATAAGATGGGGGAGCTGGAGATTTAGCTTAGCGGCATAAGCTCCTGCCTTACAAGCAGGCAGTCGTGAGTTTGATCCCCGGTACCGATAAAAAGGAAAAAGACCCAAAAAAAAAAACCCACAAGATGAGCTAAAGATGCTATTAACGCCAATTACAAAGACACACTTAACAGCTGGGCATGGTGGCACACACCTATAACCCCAGCACTCGGAAGGATGAGAAAGGAGAACAGATGTGAGTTCGAGGCCAGCCTGGGCTACACAGATGCATACAAAGATAGCCTGAACTACGCAGCAAGACCCTGTCTTAAAAAAACCAATGTAACAGACACACTCAAAGCAGCAAGTCTTGTTTTTCAATTAAAATTATGTATTTCAGTGCACATGAGCAGTATCCTAATTATAAAATAGTCAAGTTTACTTTTAAAGCTTTGAATCCGTACCTGTATACACATCCCATATTTTGATACGACCATTGCTTAATCCTGTGGCAAGAAGCAGCTGATCTTGCCCAAATCTGAATCGATGCCATTCTATATTTACACAGCGACTTTGTTTTTCTGGAACTGAAGACCCAAAGGCAAGACTCCAGACTATATCTCCACAGTCTATAATATGCTCGTGAGGTTTATTTTTTTGACCACCATCACTATTTTGTCTTGATAATCTTAAACCGTTTGAATTAGCAACATTCTTTGTGCCATGCAAGAGACTGAGAGAGAAAAGCGAAACTGAATGATTATTTATTCTGGAACCCTGAAAACATTAACAATAACGTTATCAAAATAACCTCAAGGTGATTATAATGATAATGAATAAAAGCAGAATCCTATAGATGGGAAGGGGAAAATTTGCTAGCTGAACTACAGGAGAATGACCGGATAAAATTAGGTATTTAACACAAGTTTTCAATGGCGGAAAAGTAGTGCAATAATAAAGCAATTTTATAACTATTTGACTCTCAAATTTTGTTCAAAACCAATTTATCAATTGAGACTACTTTAACTTAAACAGAGAAGTCAAAGAAAAAAAAAAAGTGCTGGGTGTGGTAGCACAGGCCTGTAATCCCAGCACTTGGGGAGGGTGAGGAAGGAGGATCACCATGAATTCAAGGCTAGACTGAACTGAATAGTAAAAGTCTCAAAAGACAAATAAATAATCCAGTAACACAAATATTCAAACTCAATTCAAGCAGAGATATCAGGGCTGGGGATTTAGCTCAGTGGCATAAGCGCCTGCCTTCCAAGCAGGCAGTCGTGAGTTCGATCCCCGGTACCGATAAAAAACGAAAAAGACAAAAAAAAAAAAAAAAAAAAATCAAGCAGAGATATCACAGGTCCATAAAAAAGTAATTATATGACCCACACACCACTGTTATCCAATAAAGTATTGTGAAACCCAAAGTGAATGCAATCAATTTTCACATAACAAGATCATCTGCTTTAGTACAGCAGAATATATACCCTGTAACAAGGTATAATTAATGTTTTGATTTTTTTTTTTTTTTTTTTTGCGACTGGGTCTCAATATACAGTCCAGGCTGCCCTTGAACTCACTATTTACCCCAGGCTAGCCTCCACTCAAGATCCTTCTGCCTCAGCCTCTCAAATGCTGGGACTGCAGACATGTGCCACTATCCCTGGCTTAATCTGTTCCGTAATTCACACAAAAATAGACAGTCAAGAAAATATTACAATGTATAATTAAGGCTAGATAACTCTTTATACAAATTGTCCAATAAGTATTCTCAGCCTATGTTAAAACACATTACAACACTGTAAAAGAAAAACAAGTATCAAAATGTTTGATTACCCTACATTAAATGACAACAGTAAATTTCAGAGATTAAAAAAGAAAAAAAAAGTCTTACAAATTCTTAAGGCACTGGGACCAAGGAACAAGCTTTACAGTTCGATGTCCTTGTGACCAAGCAAAATATGAACCATCTGGAGCAAAAGCAACAGTCCAGTTTTCACGACCACATTTCTTGTCAAAAGGAGCTGCTGGAGCTAAAAGTTCTCCTATAGTACGGGATCTCACTAAAAGAAAAAGCACAGGAAATCATAAAGAACAATGAGTCTCAAACTGCATCCGTATTACTTTGGGATTCACTAAAATTTTAACTCTTATTTTAGACACAATATGTATGGCCAGTGGCACAGCAACTGCCTGGCAAGCACAAGGTCCTGAGCTTGATTCTTGGTACCCGAACACACACACACACACACACACACACACACACACACACACACACAGAGAGAGAGAGAGAGAGAGAGAGAGAGAGAGAGAGAGAGAGAGAGGAAATTTGCTTCCTACTAGCTAATGGGAAGGATTTGTCCCCAATGTAAAGACCCCTTAATGACAATGACTATTTTCAATTTTTGGTAAACTGATTTTCCTAAAAATCTCCCAATGCAAATCTTTAAAAAAAAAGTATCACCGAATAAAACTGTAAGTGGCCAGGCATGGTGGTGCATGTCTGTAATTCTAGCACTGGGGAGGCTGAGGCAGAAGGACGGCTGTAAATTCAAGGCAAGCCTGAGCTACATAGTGAGCTCAAGACCAGCATAAACTACATAGCAAGACCTGTCTCAAAACAAAATAAAATTATACAAGTAATAATGCAATACCAATTCAAATTAGGGATTACTTAGGATCCTAATTCTTGTACTGTTTTATGTTTTCACCAAATGACATTTAAAATGCAGGAGATCGAAGTTACTTCGCAAGAAAAACATTTTACAAATTTAAAAAGAAATTTTTTTGAGATAGCATCTGGCTGCGCAGTCCAAGTTAGCCTTGTACTCACCATGCGGCCTAGGCTGGCCTCAAATGTGCAGCAGCGATGCTGCTCCCTCACCTCCTGAGGGGTTCCAGGAGTGCACCACCAAATCCAGCCTCTATGTGAAACTTTTTAGCTTTCCAGAACCATAAACTATTATAAAATACAATAGAGTAAGACCCGGTCTCCAAAAACAACACACACACCCAAAACAACTCCACCACCACCCTGGCATATTTCCAATGAGACTATTAATTCCATATTTAACAAAACACATAATCAACAAAATCTTATTTCAATATGTACAAGCTAAGTGAAATGAAATTTTCTTAATTTTGGAAAAGGGCCTTCACAACAGTATTGTCACTTCTTTGTTAGATTGGTCTTGAGTTTAATTTTGCCACTTTTCCTTTCTGTTATAGGCTTGTTGATCAACTCTACAATGCATGATAAAAGTGTGGCTTAAACTTTCCAACAACTATACTTTAATAGACTATGTCTGGATATGAACCACTTACCCCTCCACACTTGGAGCAGACCCATACACAAACCTCATTCAGGGACACTTTAGTCTGAGTATGTGCTCCATCAATAGCTAGTGTGGCACTTAGCATATGACAGGTACTCAATATTTACTGAACAAATATGAAGGCATGTGTACCAATTCCCAGTCTTAAGTGATTTAAATGTTCTTTGCCCAATCCTTTGATACACTGAGTATGGTTTAAAACAACAAAACAAAAACATGCCTATTTTTCCAGGACATTCATAAATAAGAATAAAGCTTAGATTATCAGAAATTTTTCCTTTTTTTTTTTTTTTTTTTTTTTTTGATACTAGAGATTGAACTCATAACCTCACGCTTGCCTGGAAGGCAATGTGCTGCTGAGCTGTATCCCCAGCCCAACATTTTTCCTTTTAATGATGTAAAAACCTTCCTTCCATCCACTTGGTCCTGATTCTGACCTAAGAGAATCAGCTACTAAGCCTGCAAATCTAGCACAGAGCCAGGACGTCAATTGAGTCTTTTTGTCAGTCTAAATTATTTCTAGCTCTTTTCATCACTCCTCAGATTACCAAGTTTCAAGTCCATCCTCCATCAAAACTTCATACTTTTCTAGCTCAACTACAGTGAGTAATGGCCCTCACATCATGACATTAATTTCACCATCACATGACTTCCTTAAAGTAATAGTCACAAATAGGTAACCCTCAGATCCATGCAGAGTGATTTTGTGCCTGTGTATGGACGTGGGAAAAAGGAGCCAGGACCTAAAAAAACAAAAAACAAAAAACAAAAAACAGCAGGCAAGTTTTCTACTCCTAAACCTCCGTTTCTGTTCCAATCACTCAGCCATACTTTTTAAAAATTTTTTTTGAAAATTAAAAAAAAAACAGTTTCACTAAGTCGCCAGGGTAGGCTCAAAGCTGTGATTGTTCTGACTCAGCCTTGTGAGTAGCTGGGATTACAGACATGTACCACCATGGTGAGCTGGAGTGACTTTTTGATTTTTTTTTTTTTTTTTGTCTTTTTCCTTTTTATCAGTACCAGGGATCGAACTCACGACTGCCTCTTGCAAGGCAGGCGCTTATGCCCCTGTGGCTAAATCCCCAGCCCCTGGAGTAACTTTTTAAAATACACAGATCACGTTAGACAGGGACTACTACACTAGGTTTCCTTGTATTTTTCTGAATTCAGTTCAGGCTGGCCTTGAACTCATTACAGAGCCCATGCTTCCCTCCAACTGAAGAGGATCTTCCTGCCTCAGTTTCCCAAATGCTGTGATTACAGGCATATGCCACCATGCTCAACTCTAAACCCAGTCTTTATATTCATTTCATTAGAGTTCTTTACATATCTGGTCTCTGTATTTGCAACTTTTGCCTAATGGTTTTTGTTTTTGTTTTTTTGTCTTTTTGAGACAGTGTCTCACTATGCAGTTCAGGCTGGCCTTGAGCTCACTTTGTGGCTCAGGCAGGTCTTTAATTTGCAGAGATATACCTGCCTCAGCCTACCAGTGCTGGGATTACATGAGTGTGCCACCACACCCAGCCCGCGCTTATCTTTTTATAGATCCATAATTTTTAGGGAGAAAAACAGCAAACTTCACAGATAAAGGAAACAAGTTTCAAAATCCACCTAAAGAGAAAAAAAGCCCTCAGTTAAACTAAGTGCGAACACAGTACTAACTTTCTCACACAATACTCATTTCATAAATCTGTATTTTAAGATTGCTCTGCATTTTTTATTCTTTTATTTTTTATTGCAGTACTAGAGGTTTGACCCCAGGGCCTTCACACTGAGCTCTGTCCCTTTTTATTTTGAGAGAGGGTCTCATTACATTACCCAGACTGGCCTTGACTAGGTTATGCACTGTGAGGCCAAATTTTCTTTTTTTATATCAGCCACAATTCTGAAACTCTTGTTTAAAGAATTATTAACAAGCAAACAAAGCTGGGCGTAGTTAGCACCTGTAATTCCAGCACAAAGGAATCTGAGATGGGAGAGGGAGTAAAGGCCAGTCTGAACTGTAAAGTGAGATGAGACCCTGTCTTAAAAAGACAGAAGAGGGAAAAAAAGAAAGAAAGAAAGAAAAGTTCGGGGCTGTGCAGGCAGTCGTGAGTTCGATCCCCGGTACCGATAAAAAGGAAAAAGACAAAAAAAAAAAAAAAAAAGAAAGAAAAATTCAATGACCTTGTATATGGGAAAGATGGTCTGCTTCGGAAATGGACCACAAGACACCACACTGCATTATTAACATCTGTACAGAAGTGTCACAACGTGAGTCACCACCGAACTCAACAAACCAGATTTTGCTACTTCTTCACATTCCTCCCTACAGTTTTATCACCAAAAAGGGAGGGTCTGTGGCTGTGCCTTGTGAAAGGCCGCAGTAGCTCATGGCTGTTGAATTCCTGTCATATAGAAATCTTTACTCGTTTAGGTACTCTAGCAGTCTGTACCTGAGAAGGCAAACTGCCTAACTACAGCTCAAACCCATGCAAACAGAGTCATTCCTTATTCATAGATAGGAAACTACACAGAGAAACAAATGTTTAACTTTGTATCCTAATCACACTTCAAAAAAGAAACAAAAACTGGGGTTTAAAAAAGATTCTAAAGCAGGGCAGGATGGCTTATACCTTTGATGCTAACACCAGGGAGGCTAACATAGGAGGATCACTGCAAGTTTGACACCAGACTGGGCCAAAAAGCAACCTCAAGGCTAGCCTGAGCTGCATAGTGAGACTGTCTCAAAAAGACAACCCCTCTACCCCAAAAATACAGGTTTTAAAAACTGGGTATGGATGCATCCTGTAATCCAACCAGTTGGGAGGTTGAGGCAGGAGGATCACAGCACTTTTGAGGCCAGTCTGGGTAATATAGCAAAGACCCTGCCTCAAAAATAAATAAATGTTTTAAAAGGCCAAATTTCTAGACTTTTTTTTTTTTTACTATAGCCAGGAAATAACAAAACAAAAATGTTTAAAAATTAAGAAAGAGTACCCGTGCAGGCATGCTGAAATGCTCTATTTACTCCTTAGGAAAGGGGGTCTGGAAAGTTTTCAAAGTAAGTTTATGAAGCCTAGAATACAGGGTAATGAACAGTAGATCACTCCACTGTAATACTACAGCGTGGTGAAGGGGGGTTAAAAAAAAAAAAAACGATTAATCCCAGCACTCAGGAGGCTGAGGCAGGAAGACGGTTGCAAGCTGGAAACCAGACTGGGCTACTAAGTGAGTTCCAGGCCAGTCTAAACTGCATACTGAGACCCTGTCTCAAAAAGAAAAAAAAAAAAAAAAAAAACCCTGGACTGGTAAACCGGACAGGAATTTCCTGTGCTCCCTGTATCTTCAGAAGTTATTAAGACAAGTGTTAGTCACCTAATCAGCCACTCAGCCTTATCCCTAGGAGAGCAAAAGTCCAAAATCCTATAACAGCTGTTTCTCAGTTACAGAAATACCACATAAGAGGTATTTTGGCTACTTCTGTTTCTCTCCTTCTCTGGAATACCTTTCTCTAACCTTTTAGTAAGGATGTACACTTTCAAGTGCAAGAAACGCATAGGCTCAACTGCTACTAATTTTTACTTAACATTGCACCACAAAAGTCAGTGTCTACTAAACAGTCGATTGCACAACTTCCCCAAGACTAGCAAAGGTTGTTTCAGTTTATTTTGTGCGAAGTTAAATTAATGTGTGGTGCTTTAAACCGAGCCACTGGTCTGGACCACAGTCTTTGCCACCAGATTGCCCCGCCCGACAGGGAAGCTCCAGAACAGCTTTTACAAAGCCTCCCCAGACTTTGCTCTTCACAATAGTCTTCCTTTGGTCCTTCCACCCAACCCCTCTGCTCCTCCCACATGCATTTGAAAGATAATCCGGAATCTCCTCCCCTGAACCGCAGACTTTTCCTAAGGCCTTATCATTTTTTTAAAAAATGCGTTTTCCAGGACGTTGGCATCTCTTCGAGTACATTTTAATGAGTAGTTAGTATACAAGCACCCCTTCCACTCATTGCAGCTCAGGACACACACATTCATCCCCCTTCACATCCACAAAGAGCCGATAACCTTTGGGAAATAACCTTCCCCGATTCACTCGACGCCCAAACCCTGAGTCTAGGAAATCCCGGGATGAGGACCCCGCGTCGATCGCCAGAGAAGAAACTGGGATCGAGGACGAGTGGCCGCCGCCGCGCGCCGGTCCGAGTCTACCCCAGCCTGGCTCCCACGCGGCGGGGCCCCGGACGCTCCCTCCGCGCCCGCCCGCGCCCTTCGGCTCCCATCCACCCGCCCGGCCGCTTCCTCCTCCGCGCCCGCGAGCTCTTCCCTCCGACCTAGCTCCTTCCTCCCAAACCTGCTCCGGGCAGCGCCTGCCTCTCCTCGGCCCCCGCGCGCTCCCCCACCGTCCGGTTCCTCACCGATCTCTTTTTCGTTGACCCTCGGGGAAAAGCTGGCCATCTATGGGGTACAGTCTGATGCCGGGGACACGATGCGGACGCAACGACAGAAAAAGAAATAGCTACGGCTGAGGGGCGTGACACGGGCTCAGTCCCTCCCGGCCCGGGGACGAAGGGGAGGGGCGGGGGCGGCCGCTTCGGCTTCTACAGGCTGCCCAGGGAAAACAGCGGGAGACCTCGAACCAAACTACGGGGTCGAACAGACAAAAGACCCCGTACCCTGCCTCCTGCCCACGAACGAAGACAGGGTCCTAAACACAGTCGACGGCAAAAAAAGACACTGGGACAAGATGGCGGGCGGCGCGGGTGATATGTGGACAGAAGGGGCGTGGTTATGTGACGTCATTGATGCAGCCCCGCCTCTCGACGCGGGGGACGTGACGGCCTGGGCCCCTGTCTCGGGCGTGGCCGGAGCGGGGAGAGTGCTGGGGAGTGCTGGGGTGGGGGGGGGATGACGTGCTGCCGTCTGCCCAAGAGGCGTCTTCTGACTGCGTTAATCTGCCGTTTAGAAGTCGAAATGCCTTTGCAAAAGGCCACTGGAAAATTTTTTAACACATATTATGCCACAGCTGAAAGATTGCATAAAATTTAAATTGGCCAGAACGAAAAGATACTTCAATTTTTAACTCCATTTGGTCACCTCCCTGTTCCCTGTGTGCAAGTTACACAGAAGAAAGGGTGAGATTTAGCATCATTGTGCGCCATCTGTCAGCCTGCAACTGTGCTGAGGCAAGCCAGCCGGGTTTAGGACGTGCTGAGGTGACAGGGCATGGAGAACTGGAAGACTAGGGATAACGTGCCTCACTTCGTAGCCTCCAAGGCGGTGATCCCTCTGCGTAGCTCAAAAACCCCACTTCCTCTACTCCAGGCCTGGGCCTCAGGGAGGAAGCTAGCTACTCAATAATCAGAGCTGATAAACATATTGGGTGTGTCGGATGCCAGTTAGTTCCCATTTGTAAATGACATGTTTGTGTTTAAAGGCCCTTATCTGTACTCTAAACCTTGTTCCATACAGGACTGGAAATTTCAACCATGTGACAGATACACCTGGGAGAAGGAGCCGCCTACCTCAACTCTTGAGAGATCTCAGTTGTCCACACGTAGTAGTGCACGTCCACTTTAGCATGTCTACTCCGCCATGCGTATGTGTGCAATCCTTCAAATAGTGAAATGCCTAACAGAAGCTGTTATGGTAGCAGGCACCTGCAATCCCAGCACTCAAGAGAGAATGAGGTAGGAGCAGCCTAAATTTGAGCCCAGCCTGGGCAACTTACCAATTTACAGAGATCCAATGGAAAATAAAAAAATAAAATGAACTGAGGGTGTAGGTTCAAATTTGTAGGAAAGAAGAAGAAGGGGAGAAACGCCCTATTTCCGGTTTGCCCAGAGAATACTTGCCAGCACCTTCAGCTGGAGTGTTTATCTCAACTTAAACCCTTAATCTTACCCCTAATGTTTGCCAAGAAGTATCTCTTTTATTAGTGCTATTTCTACTATTTCAATAATCTTTGGAAACAAAAGATATTATTCTGTGTATCTATTCTGTTTTTATTAGTTTATAGTTTAATAGTTTTAGTACTTTCTGTTTATAAAGTACAATAATTCTTGATCACTGAAAATGTCAAATCCTGGAAGACATAACATTCCTGCACATGAGAGCACTGTTCTCAACCAAGCTGTTAGCCAAAAATTCGTTTGATGAATCCAGTTTTTCTTAACTAGATGAATCTGATGATTTTTCAACTAGTGTTTCAGAAGGCAGCAGAGTCAGGCCTCCATCGGACTTGAAATCTGACGGAAATAGCCTTACGGCAGTTGATTTGGATGTGCTCAGAAAGGGTCAACTCATGTCCCACAACAAAGGTGTAGTCTTAGCAGCACAGCCAGCAGAAGAATGATGTCAGTGATCCCTCTGAAACCCTGCCATTATGCTGAACTGTGCTTTACTGATGGGATTAGTTTTTTAAATTACCAACAAAACAAATATCCAAACTTCCTTGTTGGCTTCAGAGCTACCTGGTTCCAAAGGATTAGTGGAAAAACACTTGACAATGATGAACTGAAAGGTTTTTTTTTTTTTTTTTTCTCTCTCCCCAGTAACAGCACTCCAAAGTACTGTGCAGAAACCTGAACTGGAGAAACTTTGGTGAACAAGGGCCGTTTTGGCTACATCTTATCTCTAGCAAATTATGGACTGGCAAAAGACTTACTTTTACTTTGGTTCCTGTATTTTGTCAATTTTTCCACATCTGCTGGTCAAAGGCCATAATATCACTGTCTTCTGCAAAGATCAAGTGTGTGTTCGACTTTCTTGTAAGTAAGTTTTCGATATACTCCAAACAGGAACATGGAAGTTGATAAGTCGTTGACACTGTTGGGGGGTGATTAGCAAGAAGCAGTACACCTCAATGAAATGAGCACAACTTTGTCTCAAGCTACACAACTTCATGAAAGGCAATGTGGTTATGCATGGAATATGCTTGTTCACACAGAGTCCAGAATGAATTTGAAAGACTGAGCTGATGGTCTGAAATCCTAACACATTGTCTTTCCTTAGTCATGGCCTTTCTTGACCAAGGATATTGTGTCTTCCTCAGTAACTTTTATACTCTTCTCAGACTTTTTTGAGATTCACATCAAAACAGGGCTGATAAGGTTGGTACAGCTCGTTGGAACAGAAAACAAATTCCAAGCTCTGGGAAAGAAGAATTGCAAAAGTTTTGAGACCACTATAGCCAGATTGTGTGGTGAACGTATGGCACTGAAATGGTGTGACAAGCAGGTGGTGACAATCTTGTCCACCTTATATAAGGTTACTGTGATTGAGGCAGAGGACAGAAATTATAAAACTAAATCGAAGCCTGTGTCACTGTAGATTATCACAGGACTATGGAGCAGTGGACTTGGCTGATCAGATAATTACTTCCTATCAGACTGAGCACAAAAGACACAAGGTTTGGTATAAGAAATTCTTTCACCACCTTCTAAACATTACAGTGTTGAATTCCTACATCCTGTTCAGGAGGACAGTTCTGAGCACATGAACAGCCATGTAAACTTCAGCTGATGTTGATTGAAAAAGCGCTAGAGATGCTCAGGTTCATAAGCGTGACGATTGGGTGCTCATGCTCCATGCATGACATGTGCCTCCTTTGAACCTTGCTACGACCTCGGCACATTACCCATCTGACGTGAAGAGAAAAAAAAAGAAAAAGCACTAGAAGAGCATCACAAGCTAGGGCAGTGACATCTGAGAGGCCATCTGTTTTCTGATGATGTCACATCTCTTCTAACTTCCTGAAAAGTGTTTCCTCCAAGAGCATACCACCAACATAAGAGAGACAAAATCCACCCAGCTGCTGCAAAGTTTGCTGTTCAAACAACAAGGAGATTAGAGAAAAAGATGATTTTTTTGGCCACATGTGATGTACTGCTCTGTGGTATTCCATGCTTTGAAATTTACCACATTAAAAAAGGTTGTTTGTTTGTTTGTTTTTATCTTTTTATTTCTTTGTCTTTTCGAGACAAGGTCAGGCTGAACTCACTTTATAGCCCAGGTTAGTCTCGAACTTGCGGCGATCCTCTTGCCTCAGCCTCCTGAGTGCTAGGATTACAGGTGTGAGCCACCATGCCCAGCAAAAGTAAGTATTAAATAATAATAATCATATACATTTCTGTTGCAACAGGGATAGAGTCATGTGCTATTTAGAAATAACTCCAAGAACACTTTTTATATTTTATTTTCACCTTGAAAACCAGTCAGATTTGCATCAGCCTCAAAGAGTGTGTTTATGTAAAATAAATTGAATCTTGGAAATGATCTATGCTTTTTTTTTTTTTTTCTTAAATAAGTAAGTGGTATAAGAAACCATCTCCCTGTCTTGCACTCTGGGTGCCTGATTGGAGGTGGCAATGAGCAATCTATGTACGATTGCTGCTTCATGATTGACGTATTTTGAAATTTTGGGTTGGTTTTTTTTTTTTCCCCTCTTTGAAATAAAATGGATTGGGGGGGGGAGAAAAACTATGTCCCTTCTCTTTAAAAAAAATCATTTTTGTTACCTTTAGTAAACATGTTATTGAGAATATAGCACTAGAACTAGCTGCCAAATATTTAGAGTAAAACAAAAGAAAAATCTGAATGTAGTTTTGAGGCTAATATACCAACATTTGTGTCATTCTCAGTTACTTATTTAAGCCAACTGCAATTAATACTGTTTATTTGTACTGTTCCAAATAAATTCACAGAAAAACAGCAGTTCTTGAGCATCTAGTTCTGGATTATTTTGGTGGCCTTTCCATACAGTTGTGTAACTCTCACTTCATTCTCACTAGCCCACAGGCTTGCCAAACATATTCTCAGCTGGCAGAGTATGATGCTATACTCATATCCGGGAGTGGCACAGGGACCAGCAATCTCCTCCAGGTCATTATTGTCCCATTGAATGAACAGGTTAGGACCATGGTGGAGGTGAATGACTGCTGTCTATTTTAGGGGAGAGATAAAAAGAAGAAAAGAAGAGAAACACCAAAGAAGTGCCAAAGGGAAAAAGGGTGCTTCAAAAGAAAAAGAGAAGATTGTTCTACTGCAAGAGCAAGGTACAGAGCCACAGGCTCACTGCTGCCATCTTCCGTGAGCTCCTTTGACAGCTGAGGCTGAGGTGTCCCTCTTGGTCTTGTGCTAGCGCCTGGCATCAGGTGCCAGGTTCAGCACGGTCTTGTGGCAGAAGGTCGGAGCCAGGTGGCGGCTCAGCTTGATCTGGGGTCCGGCGTGGGAGTTGCTGGCATGTGCCTGTGGTGGACAGTCTCTTCAGTTGGCAGGTTGTGCCCAGTTGCTCCAGCCACATTGCCGTGCCCTGGGCTCCTACTCCAACGTGCTGCCGTGCATGCACTCTCCGAATTAACCCACTGAACACTCACACCAGCGAATAGGGTATGGGCCATATTCACAGGTCACACTCGTACTAGTAACCTGAGAACTGGCACAAAACCTAGGACTCACTAATGAAAGGCAAGGTAACAAGAAGTAGGGAACTCTGCTTTCAATTCTGGCAACCTGCCACTTACTGATCCGTTTCCTCTCATCTTACCAGAAGGTTTAACAGAATCTGGAATTTTCATGTGGTCAGGCCTTTGATTTTTCCCACACCATTTTTTACCTAATAGGAAGGGACACAAACATAAGAGAAGTAGAATAACCACTGTCATATTCTCTTGTTCAAAGGAAGAGTGGGTATAACCATACATATAGAAATAATTAGCTGCATGTACTGGTGCATACCTGTGGTCCCAGCATAGGGAGGCTGAGGCAGGAGGATCACTAGGAGTTAGAGGCCAGAGTGGGCTACAAAGTGAGTTCAGCGTCATCCTGAGCTACGTAATGAGACTCTGTCTCAAAAAGACAAAAAAGAAAGAATGAATGAATGAATGAGAAAAGGAAGGAAGGAAGGAAGGAAGGAAGGAAGAAAAAAAGAAACATTTAGGAGTAGATTACAATTTATTTTTAGATTATAAAATATTTTCCCATATTAACAAAACTTTTCACCATATCATTGTATATAGCCTTAACTTTATTTGGAGTTGAACTTTTGCCTTTTCTACCCTAAACTGCAAAATAATACGAGAAGGATGGGCTTCTCCTGGAGTAACTTTTCATCACTCCATGTTTCCCCTGATGTCATGAACATAACCAGTTCACAATAAAGAACTCTTCCTGAAAGTTTATATTCACCAAATTTAGGGCAATTTGGGTGAGATGCTATCAGGATATGCATCCATGTAAGTCTCTAAAGTTATAGACAAACCCTACAGGAAGGGTTTTCTTGTTTTGTTCTAGGTTTTGGATTTTTATGGTGCTGGGGCTTTGTGCATGCTGGGTAAAAGCCCTATTATTGAGCTGTATCCCCCAAACCTGGAATATTATTTCTGAACCTATTATCTTAGAGAAGAAAGTAAGTAACCATCCTCTTTTAAGGAAAGGGAAATAATACCTACTTAAAGCAACAATCTAGCCAGGCATGGTAGCACATGCCTGTAATCCTAGAAATTGGAGGGCTCAGGTGGGAGGCTCACCATGGCTTGGAGGCCAGCTTGGGCTACAAAGTAAATTCAAGACCAGCTTGAACTACATAGTGAGACCTTGTCTCAGAAAAAAAAAAAAAAAAAAAAAAAAAAAAAAAAAAAAAAAAAAAAAAGCAACAACCAACCATTTATAAAACATAAGATAATAAATTATACAATTGTGTGGGGCTACACTGATTACCAACACACACACGCAATAAACCACAATGCCAGACATTTTAGTGTTCTCTAATGTAGTTAAATCTCAAAGATGAAAAAGATCGCTATACTTTTCGACTCTGCACTGCCCAAGACCAAACAAAGCTAAAAGCCTGAAAAACACACATTGTTTATGTAATAGGAGAGTTGCTTGTTTTGCTTTTCATACCTCTTGAAGTCTAGACTGACTGTGAGGATGACAGTTTGTTATGTCTGGTGGGTCTGGGGTCTAGGGTTAATTCAGAATGCAAACATCTCCATTACTGTCTTTATAAAAATAAAGCCATAGGGACTGGAGGTTTAGCTCAGCAGCATAAGAGCCTGCCTTGCAAGCAGACAGTAGTGAGTTTGATCCCTGGTACCGATAAAAGAGGAAAAAGACAAAAAAAAAAAAAAGCCATAAATGAATTAAAAGATTAAGACAATGGTAAATATAAGCCAATAAAAAACATGTGATTTTGTTTATTAATTTTACATGGAAAAATAAGTGAATTAAAGAGATACTGTCCAGTATATATTTAAGGATGTTTTTTGCATTTGTTTGGTTCTAGAGACTGAACCCAGGACCTTAACACATTCTAGACAAACACTCTCACACTGAAATATACCCTTAGCCCTTAAAAATCCCAAAGACTAAGCACTTAAACTAATGAGGCATAGCATTATCTTCAGACTCATAGCTAAAAGGGACCTTAGAGCCAAGTGTGGTGTTACACACCTGTGATTGCAACACTCTGTAGGCTGAAGCAAGATGGCCATGATTTCAAAATCATTTTGGGCTACATAGTGCATTCAAGGCCAGACTGAATTGCATGATAAGACCCTGTCTCCAAAAAAAAAGGAACTTAGAGATCCCGTAGTAGTATATCCTTAGTTTCCACAGCATGAAACAGGTGTCTTTTTGTATGCATGACTTTTTGACATTCACACAACTAGTGGAAGAAGGAAGGTGGGGCACAATTCTCATAAGAAACCCAGTCAATTTTTGGATTTTTTTTTTTTTTTGTATCAAGAATAATCGAACTCAGGACCTCACGTTTGCCAGGCAGGTGCTGTGCCACTGAGCTATACCCGTGGCCCTCATTTTCCTTAATTGATTGTGTATGCTGCCATCTCTCCTGAAAGAGCTGTAAGTTAGTGGGAGACAGAGACTACGTCCTTCTCAGACTGGTCTTTTAGAACAGAGTAGGATGCCCGGGATGCACTCTCAGTGGTACAGCACTTAGTGTGCTGTTAGTGTGCTCAAGGCCTTGGATTCAATACCCAGTACTGCCAAAAAGTAAAATAACACCTAGCAAATATAGCTTCTGAGTAGTAGGCACTCAATTTCTTTTGGATTAACTTCTTACTTGATGCAATATGGTTCTGCATCTTCATGTTCATGGGAAAGCAAGCCTTTATGTATTCATGAAATATTTATTGGTAATTTATTATGTACCAAGTGCTATGTCAGGCTCAAAATGAGATTTAAAATGAGGTTCTTCTTCTTCTTTCAAATTTGGGTCTCTATTAAAATAGAATTGGGCTGGAGATTTAGCTCAGTGCCTGCTTGGTAAGCACAAGGTCATGTGTTTGATCTCTGGTACATAATTGGGGCTGGAGGTGTAATTTAAGTGGTAAAGCTCTGGTTTAATCCTCAGCACCATTTTTTTTTTTAAAAACTGTTTTGTGAGACAGTATCCCACTGTGTAGTGCAGGCTGGTCTTGAACTCACCACGTGCACTATGTGGCCCAAGCTGACCTCAATCTCACAGAAATCCTCCAGCCTCAGCCTCCTAAGTGCTGGGACATAAATTTGCACCACACCCAGCTAAAACATTTTTTTAAAAATTATTATTATTATTATTATTATTGTATGTTTCAGAAAAGGAAAAGTGGCACCTTCTCTTTTTTTCCTCTTCTTTTATCTTTTATTTTTCTTTTTTTTCTTTCAGTGCTAGGGTCATACATAAAGTCTAGGACCCCTAGTGTGCTAGGTAAGGAACCAACCACTGAACTGCAACCCCAGGCAGTTCCTGTGTTGGAGACTGAGCTGGGCTGTACAGGATAAGTCGCTAGACACAGTCCTCTGGCTATAGGGAAAAGAGCATATATACACAGTGCTCTCAAATCAAGATAACAGCACAGCTGAGACTGCCAAGGACTCGGGGTGCTAACATTCCCTGCTACCCTTAGAGATCAAACAGTTCTCTAATTGACAAAATCTA